CAAAGCCAGTACATCGTGACCCTTAATAGCCTACAGAATTAGACACTCCATCCACACCACAGATCTGAGCTCTTCAGATCACCCCACATGCCAAGTGATGCTGAGTGACAGTAAAGATTTTGTTTTATACATAGAAAAAAAAGTTCAAAGGCCTTTAAGTCTATAAAGGATACTACCTAGTGTTTGATGTCTTTGGGCCCAAATTAGAGAGGAAGATGAGAAAAGAAAAAGTGTTAGGGTATATTTTAAGGTTTCTTATTACAACCAAGGGGAGGCGTAGCCGAGGCAAAGTGCCAAGATTAAAACAAAAACATATAGAAATCAGGAGCTGCTTGTTTAAAAAAGTAAAGACCATAAACTCTTCAAGCAACAATCTTCTGTCTTTTCTGATAGAATGCTGTACCACCCAAAGGAAAAAAGGCAGGTACTCCCTTACCTTTAGCCTTTTGTAGACCTTGGTCAGTTTCCACCAAAATACTTGATTTTCAGTCATATTTATAAGCCTTCATTTGTAGAGATTTTTAACTCTTTTTTTGTGTGTGTGTTAAGCAGCCCTTTGGCAGTCTGAGCTTACTGAACTCTTCTAAGAAAAACATTTTTAAGTGCATAAAATAAAAAAACAAAGGATTACAAGGGAAATCAATTATATTTAGTTATCAAGATAGTTTTAAATTGTGATACAATAGTATATGTACTTCTATATTAATGCATTAAATAACAAATCTAGCAGCAACTCTGATTGTTGCCTATACACGTAATTGAATGAAATGCTAAATTTCAGTTTGAATATAGTAAAAACAGAGATGAAATTTTTTTCCTCATCTGAGTTCAAGGACTCCCTGGACAGCATCTGTGGACACTAGGTTAAAAACTTTTAGTTAAAAGAGACAAAAAAAGTATATTTTGGGAAGCACCAAATGAAAAATAAAGCCTTGCAAAGTGCATTATCATTATTGCTAAAGAAACAGAGATAGAATGAAGGACTAAGCCAAAATCACAAAGCCAGTCTTACAAAAAAGCAAGAATTCTATCCAGGCCTCCTGAGTGTATTTTCATGCTCTCCCCACTACACTGAACTGCCTCTCAAATCCTGACACACTTCCCCAACCTCAACAGTTTAGCCATGTTTAAAATAAATAGCAAAAAAGACCTGACAAACCAATTAGTTTCTCTATCTTCAATTACATAATAGGCACAACAAAGAGTTCTGGCTATGATACATACATTCGCCAGTTGGAATCATGAAATAATTAAATTCCACCTAACCTGCCAAGAAAATGATGACCCTACTAAAATCCTAACTGGAAATTCCCTTAATATTGTGCAACACATGAAAAGATGCAGAAGTACTCGTATATGCATATAGACATATACATATATAGCTCTTCCCATATATGCGTACATGTAGAGACATAGATATATACATAAATATATACACTTATGTAGTTAGTTCCTCACTCTGCTCTCCAGGATTTTTCAGTAACATTTTACTATGAAATTTAGAAGAGAGCAAAAAGGACAGTCACACAACAATTTTTTTTCTAAAGCATTGTATTTTCTAAGGCCATGCCACCCTGAACATGCTCGATCTCGTCTGATCTCGGAAGCTAAGCAGGGTCGGCCCTGGTTAGTACTTGGATGGGAGACCACCTAGGAAGACCTGGTGCTGTAGGCATTTTAAAAAAAAACAAAACAAAAAAACATTGTATTCTGTAAGGAAAAGCTTCTATCAATAGCGAGTATTTTTAGACCTCAAGATTAATTTTATCAATAAGAAAACCTTACTAGGAATACTCTGTTAACCAATATTTATGTCCTAGATGACCAGACATGCAAAGTTGGTATTTTTATTTGATTGTTATTGTTGCTTTAAGAGGGCGGGAACTGTCTCAAGTCCTAAAGGTGGGATATGAATTAGTAAGGGTTTCTTTAAAGTCTACCTACCTTCTATTTCCCCAGCATTCTTCAATGTGTTCAATATTGCTAGAAAGTCAAAAACCTACTGTCAAAAAAAAAAGGAAAAAAGGAAAAAAGGAAAGAAAAAGGCCACAATTCTTCTAAAGGATTCAAAAACCAGACTAGCATCTTCTTAACAGTCTGGTCTCAACTTAAATTTCACCTCCTCAGAGACCTGCCCTGACCTCCTAACTAAAGAAAGCAATACCTGCCTAGAACAGACATTCCCTAAGTTAACCCACTTCTGTTGAAGACTTGGCAACATCTGAAATTCTCATTTATTATTCATTTGTTTACATATTTCTTTCTGTTTATGCTTGCCACTCCACACTGTAATGAAAGCTCCTTGTTCACTGCTGGATTCTCAATGCCTACACAGTGCAGGCACACAGTAGGTACACACATAACTGCTGAGGGTCTAGCCTAAAATATTAAGTGCCAACTATGTCTTACTCAGGGTCTCCTGAAAAAGCATCAGTTAAAGACAGAGCCCATGCAATTGACAACGAATTTCTATAGCCTACTTTAGATTAAGCCTACAATACTAAGACAATCCAGGGTATAAATCTTTTTCAGGGCTTTGAAATACCCTGCACTTTCAGCCTATGAACACAAAACCTCTCCAGGCCCACTCACACATTGCTTTTCTGAAGCATCTCAATAATGATTTCCTCAAAAGGAAATAATGAAATAAAGTTCCAGCATAAGTTAATCTTTCCTGTCAGGTTCACAATATTAAACATACTTTGAAGCCAGCCACACAAACAAAACTAAACTCCACAAAATTAGGTTGGATGAGGTTACATAAGACAAGCTAAACTCTGGCTTTTTTCCTGTCATCCTTCCCTCCTTCCAGTGAACCTTGGCATCTGTCTTTCAATTGCAATTAGATGCAGGTGAGAAAAATACCTGCACACAGCTTCAGAATAGGTAATGAGATTCCTAATAATATTCTACTTAATATTGTAGTAACTAAGTGAGGAAGACTGGACAACTTTGAGCTATAGTGTGCCTGGAAGCTTCTCTTAAAAATTCTCTCAAATTATTTTTAAGTCGGCACCTATTTCAAGGTGGTATTATCAAAAGACGTTTTTCAGAGTTCTCTGACTTTTTCCACGCCCATGACTCCTCATGCGTGTGCTAAGCCTACTTTATCAGCACCCGTCATACTCTGAATACAGGTCTTTCAACAGAGAAGGACAAAAGCGAGGATTCCCAAGAATGACACATCTAAAGGAAAAATTAATCCTTTCTCCTCCAAAACTAAACCCGAGTTGCTCCTTCTCCCAGGTTTCCTGCACCTTCCTCTTGCCCATTCCGCTCCCCTTTCACTGCCCATTTCACTCTGGTTTAATCTGGCGAAGCCTCTCTCCCAGTTTATTAAGGGTAAACAATAGAAATGTCACAAGAAACTCAGGAAGTAGATGAAGTCTCTAATTGCTGTCGTTTAACGATTGTAGATAATTACTATCTTCAAATGTGGTTTTCACCAGCGGAGAGGGATCCGAGGCGGGTGAGGCTGGCGAGCTCCCCGCTGCTGGGCGGACCTCTGCGAGGCCGCGGCCCGGGGTGGAGGGACAGAGGGGATGCGGCCCCGAGCCGCCGCGTCCCTGCCCCCTCCAGGACTTTGCTGGAGAGGAAAGCCGAGGGCCGGCCCGCCCGCCCGGGTCACAGACAGTTCACTGCCCGCGGGCTGCGGCTGCCGGCCGCAGTCACCATAACAATATGCAAAGCGCTGCCCGCGGACGCCCGCCGCGCAGAGCCCACTGCATCCGACTCCAAGTTCCAGGGCCCGGGGCCCACAGCAAGCGAGGACACAGGGCTCCCGGGGGCCGGGCCTCGCGGGCCTCTCAGGTTCTCCCAGCAGGGGGTCTCCTCCAACCCTGCGAGATGCCTGCGACGGGGGCGCCCCAGCCCCGGCCGCCGCCGACCCTCCCCAGTCCCGGGCGCGAGGGGAAGTCGAGCTCCTGCCCCCGCGGTACTGCCAAGGGCTCCGTCCCCGAGCACTGTGCTCTGCGGGGCACGGGGTAGCTCCAGTGCCCGATGCCGCCTCTCTGGGGCCGTCCGTTCTCCGTGCGGTTAGCGCATCCCGGAGCCCGCCTCAGCGCCCCGCGGGTGCGGATGGGGGGCATCCCGCCCCCGCGATCGCCGTACCAGCCTTCTGAGCCGCTCCCGCCGCCCCCAGCGTCCCGGCAGTCTCCGGAGAGCGCCCGAGCCACCCCACTGGCCCCTCTCCGGGATGCGAGCGCGCGGCGGCCACCCAGCCCAGAGCGCTCGCCGCCCGCCCCCAAGCTCCCCGAGGTCGGGGGTGCCCGGACTCACCCCAATACCACCAGCTCTCCGTATTTC